AAAAGAAACTGAAAAAGTATTCATAAATGCCAGAAATAAGCCATCACATTTCCTGATTCTTGCTGGCATTACTAAGCCTCTTTTTATATGTTTGTAAGATTTCTTCCTTTAAAGAACGTTAAAGCCGCTTAGACAAGAATTCCAGTTAATATATGATTAGAATGCAGCAAAGCATTAAATTGAAACAGTCTTCCAGGATTCCTTTTTTTTTAAAAAAATGCTAATTTAAACTTTTGCATGTGCTGTCATCTGATCCCAAACGCTTGCTTTATGGTATTAAGAAAAACCTGACAGCAACTTCTACATTATCCCCCACTTTAAGACAGCAAGGCAGGCTGTACAGTTTTGATAAAGCATAAAGTGACACACTGGAAATATTTTGAATAATTTAACTCCGCCAACACCGCTGTCAGTGCGTTCCTAAGGGATTGTGTAGGACCTGATCACCTGAACATCAGATGTAACAGGATTGTTAAATAAATGTCTTCATTCCATAATGCATTAAGATCAGGGAGGCCCACTGAATGCTTAGATGAAACTGTGTATTTTTAGGTTTCATAGCTATATTTTTTACCAAAAAACACAACCCCCCCCCAAAAAAAAAGATATATTGATATATTTAATACATTCAAGATGCTCAGTATTCAAAGGAGTTAGTGGCATTTTTTCCTCCAGAACTTAACACTCCAGATAAGTGTGGAGAGAATTATTTCAGAGGGGTTTTATTCTCAATCGATGACCCCTGCACCCAAAGACAGGCAAAGCCAGAACATGTGGTCATGTACCGCTTGTAAAATACATAATCTCTGAATAAATAAATCACCATATTAATCTTAAAGTACGTGCATGCTCTGTCTATTCCAGAAGACGATCCACAAGATGGCACACACGTTCACATTAAAAGAAGTAGTAGTTAGAAACACCTTACAACAGCTTAAGATAGACAGAGTGTCTGGGTATTTGGATGGGCTTAGAGAAGACAATTACATCCCCTCCTTGCTTTACACTTCCTGGTTTCTGCCTTTGTCTTATTCCATCCACCGCTCTTCATTCCACTCATGGACTTCTACATATTAGAAGTCTTTCCTCGTTGCCTTGTTGGCAGGATTAATGCAGAGCAGATAAGGAGGCCCATTTTTCCTGCTGTCAACCGCTGGAACAGCAGATAAGCCATTTGGGACACAACTTTGCATTTGGTGAGGGTGCCAGCCACTCTCCTATCCTTTTGCGGTTTGCATTTATCACCNAAAAATACCTACCAAGCCGATCTTAAAACATTTGAATTGTTTTTTCTAATTTATAGGATACGTGTGATTAAGCTTGCTTCTTTCTTCTTGTTCTCTTCTCCAAAAACAAGAGAAAGAATATGGCCTTAGACAAGAAAGGACCTAAACTGAGAGCTGCATGACAGTTTTCTTTTACTCTGTTGTGCTGGTTAATTGAAGCAAACTGAGGCCCAGATAGAAAGGGGCTCAAATCCATAGCTGAGCAGCAGTCTAAAGCAGAGGTCTCCAACCTTGGCAACCTTAAGACTTGTGGACTTCAACTTCCAGAATTCCTCAGCCAGCTTTGATTTGCTGGCTGAGGAATTCTGGGAGTTGAAGTCTACAATTCTTAAAGTTGCCAAGGTTGGAGACCCCTGGTCTAAAGATCATAAGATTATCTATGTTTAAATACTAGAACAAGTAAAAGAAGTGTCTAAAAATTACAATAAACAGAATGCTAGAATAATCAAAAAATGGCTATGTATCATTCATCTATACAAAAAATTAAATTAAATTAAAAAAATAAAGTATTCCTCAAACTAGTAATAAAGTGGCATGCAAAAAATATTTTAGAACTTTGTACAGCTGTTCATGATTTGAAAATGAGAGTTTTGGATTTTGCCCAAATGTAATACTGTATTATCTTTGCTATCCATTAAATTAGGCATTTTTTTCCAGGTTTCCATACAAGACTCGGAAAAAGGTGTTAATGCTTGAAGAATTGGATCACAGAAAGCAGTGGTATCTTTCCTTCCCCTCAAAATTGCAGAAAAATCTTTTTTAAAATAATCAGATTAATCAGAATTTACTCCATATTTTGTTTGTACGGTATGTACTTTTCTTAATTATCCTGGCATTGTCAATTTAGTTTGGGATGTGTTGAATATTTGAATACCAATTCTCTTGTGCTGGTTAATGACCGCAATATAGTTATTTTTTTCCTTGAATTATTACTGAAGTTCTCACAGATTTAAAATTTACAATATTGCAACATCTGAAAAAAATGAATAACATTACACAATAAATGTCTGGAAAATCTGAAGAATTCACCCAAAGTATCAAACTTGAATTCTGGAAGAGTCTAAAATAATCAATGAGTTGATGCACTGAAATATAAAACCCCTTTTCTCCTAAAAATTATTCTTTCAAATAAAATGTTTTTACTAAAAGTATTATCATATTCTTCGGACTATAAGACGCACCGCGTATAAAACGCACCAAGATTTCAAAGAGGTAAGTAAGGAAAAACAGTTTTTGCCTTCCCTCAGCCTCCAGAAGCACTCTGCAGGCTTCAGCAGGGCTGGGGGAAGGCAAAAACACCCCCCTTTTGCCTTGCTCCAGCCCTGCTGAAACCTGCAGGGGGCTGCTGGAAGCTGAGGGAAGGCAAAAAATGCCTCTGTTTTTGCAAAAATTGGCCTGTTTTTCACAAAGATGGGGTGTGGGGGTGGGACGTCAGGAGGCTAAAAATGGCTATATTGGGTGAATAAGACTCACCAACATTTCCACACTCTTTTAGGGTGGAAAAAGGTGCGTCTTATACTCCAAAAAATCCGGTATCTGTTGGTACCATTCCTTACATAAATAAAATATATTTTCCATTCTTGAAAAATATTTTCAAAATCTATTACATTTTTTTCTGTTGGCTTTTACCTGCTGGTATAAAAAATTTAACGTTGGCTTATCTTCAGTAAACTGGCTCAGAAATCCTTTCGGTAAGTATCGAATTCGCAATTCATATCTAGAGCAAAGGAAAAGAGAATTTAGTACCACTGCCTTTTAAATATTACAGCAATTATGCAATATAAAAAACCCAGAAAAATACCTTGTCA